AGTGGGTTCAGATAAAGTCAGAAGACAGGCCAAGTGTGATGGAAAGAGCACAGGACTGGGAGTCAGAGATCTGAACTCTCCATCTCTAACTCACTCTGAGACTTCCTGAACTCTCTGGATAGCAACTTCATTGTCTCTCAAATCAGGAGTTGGGAGTAATTAAATAGGATTATATCTTTTAGATCATAACCTCTAGAGTCATCTTTGGTATTTAGATTAGCAAAGCCAATTCTGGAGGAATTGTGTTATCACTGGTACAGAGATGTACCACCATACCTTATCATTATCTTAGTCCTCATTTTAATCCTACTTTAGTTTTGTTTTGATAACAACAGTACCTACTTGGTGCCAGGCAGAATTCTTGGGCCAGCTTCTATACAGTCATGCACACTTTTAGAGATACCTGTAGTCCCCACAGAAAACTCATCTACCAGGAAGCACACTATGGAATAGAGGGGCTCCTTTTTCTCCTGGTGTTGGAATGAGATGTCTTGGGATCCTTATGTTTGCATCTTACCTGAATTAAAAGGGGTTACCTGAGTACTGGGCTCTGGAATTATGCATATCGAGAAAGCACATTGATTTTGCAGTGGCACAAACCTGTGTTCCATCCCTGGGGACATGGCTGAAATGGCAGTGTGCTTGTCTAATAACTCTAAGGCCAAAAGCCTTAAACAAGCATACTGCCATTTCAGCCATGTCCCCAGTTATTTTACTTTTGGTTTGTTTTACAAATACAGTCTCACAGCTGCTCAGCACAGCTTGAAACAATGATTCACCAACATCCACTCCCTGGATAGCTGGGATTTCAGGTGTGTGCCACCATACCTTCCTTTATTTTTTGAGATAGAGCCTTGCTAGCTTTTCCCCCAGGCTAGCCCTTAACAAAGATTTTCCTGTCTCTGTCTCCTGAGTAGCTAGGATTACAGGTTTTTACTGCCATGCCTGGCCCTTTTTCTGCTTCTATTGTTATATATTCTCAAAGTGCTAAAGTTTTTTCACTTGCAAAATGGGTAAGGCCATCCTGCCTGCAGAGAATACTTACGATGGTTATGTTAAGTTATTCTCAGGGAAAGCACTGGCATGGGGCCTTGGGTGCAGTAATGCTGCATAAATATTGATATTTCTTCTTGCTGCTGGCCATTCTTCTGCTACTCAATAACCAGGTGCTAAGCCCGCACTGGATACTGAGCGTGGCTCTGGTGATGTGGATGCACTAATGAGCAAGACAGAGCCTGGATGGTTTCTGAGACTCACAAACCCTAAGCTGGACACGCTCCTTCAGAGAAGGCAATGGCTACTTAGACAGAAGTATGGAACTCTTCCCTGGAAAACCCTGTACTTTTCTTTTGCATGAACTTTTCTTTCCTCAACTCTGTACTTTACTTTTGAAGTATCCCTCACATACTGATAAGATCTGTGCCTCTTTTTCCAGGTGTATCTCCTGACTCTTTGGTGAACCGTGTTTTTACATGCTCTCTTTCTCATCTGCACCCTGGTTTGAATTATCCATTTGGCTGGAAAGCCCGCTCATGAAGGCCTTTCCCTTCCAGTTTTGCATGTACTCTCCAAGTTCATGACTCAGCTCAAGTTCCATCCCCTGCCCAGGCAACCCAGAGCCTGCTCTGTATTTCCTTACCCAAAGTTAGAAGCTTCCCTCCCACCTGAACTCCCAATCCTCTTTGGCATGTGTCCTGTAACTTTGTACCATTTGCAGTACGGTTCTAACCTGGCTTGACCACAGGTTCTTTGAAGACCTGATCTGTATGTGTTGACTGAGTTCTTAGTTCTGTTAAGCATTTGCCATGGTTTTTTCCTTTATTTTTTATTTTTTATTGTGAAAATACTGTTCAGAGGGGTTACAATTACATGGGCAAGATAATGAGTACATTTCTTTCTTTCTTTTTTTTTTTAGTGTTGTGCTTTCGCCTGCTTCATTTTTATTTATTTATTTATTTTCTATTGTGAAAATACTGTACAGAGGGGTTACAATTACATGGGTAAGATAATGAGTACAGTTCTTATCAAGCATTGTAGCCTCCTCCTTTGTTTCCCCTTCCCATCCCTTCCCATCTTCCCCCCCCCCCACCCAAACCTCCTCACCCCACCCCAACACCAAAGTTGTAAAGTTCATTTTTGACATAACGACTTGAACATCTCATTGTTGCAATGGGACCACCTGTATCCCTATTTAAACGATTTGTTTTTCCCCTTCCCCTCCACAAATTATACTGACATCAAATACAGTGAAAGCAGGGGTTATAATGTGGGGGAGGGACATACAAAGCAACAAAGAAATAATCTTATAAGTGTGTTAGAAACAATCACATGAAAGAAAAAAAAACATTTGAATACATATCTTAGGGGTCATTTCCCTAACATCACCTTATCTGACCTTTACTGCTTGACTTAGACATACACTAGATATTGCAAATAAGGGAAACCATGGGACCTATGTTTCTTTGCGCCTGGCTTACTTCACTTTATATAATTTTTTCCAAGCCTTTCCATTTCCTAACAAATGGGGCAATGTCATTCTTTCTGATGGAGGTATAGAATTCCATTGTGTATATATACTACATTTATATACTTGATACTATATACTTGATCCATTCATCTACTGAGAGGCATCTGGGTTGGTTCCATATCTTAGTTATAGTAAATAATGCTGCAATAAACATAGTTGAAGCATTTGCCATGTTGGCCAATAAATGAAGGCCCATAGTTCTCAGGATTGCTGTTGGAATACGTGTGTGTGGGGGGGCGGGGTGGCTCTTCTTTATTATTGTTGTTACTGTTGTTGTTTTATCATTAGTAGTTATACAAAGAGATTTCAGTTCAACTTGTCAGTTTATGAGTACAATGCACCTTGATCAATTGTTAACTCTTTCATCATTCTCCTCTATCTCTCCCAACCCTATCCAGGACCTCACTTTTTCTAGTTTAGTTTTCAGGTATACACATTGAATATTAAGACAGCTTGTTTTCATCCTGCCTCTCTTCATTTATTTCCTCCCATTTTCCTTATCCTTCCCCCATATTTCAAGTCCAAGCTTCCTAGTATTCATTTTGTTAGACTGTAAGTTGTTCAAAGGAGTGACCCCATTGGAATTCTTGGGTTCTTCTGCCAGAGCTGTACTCTTCATGTCTATATGAGACCTAGCTAGGCCTTTCATTAAAAATTTGGATGGCAGTATAAAGTCTTCAATTTGTTTTCTTCCTTTTTCTCTCAATGTCAAGCTAACTTGGTATTCTCTCCCTTGCTAGGGTGATTTCTCTTACTTAGCTATCTACCTTGTTCTATTGCTTCATTTTTTGAGGCATTCAAAGGGAATGTGAGAAATTTTATAGAGCAGCGATACCTGCAAATAAGACATTAAAAATTCCTTCTCTGACAATTCTTCCAAACTGGGCAAAATATGAAGCTGTCCATTGGAAACACATGCAGAAAACATATTGAATAGAAATGAAGGATTCCATTAGGATGGACAGCAATTTTGTTCTGCAGGGAATTATTTGTTTACTTATTTACTTGCCCACTGGCTTCTTGAAACATTTTTTCTCTTTCTCTTTAATGAAAACCTCTCAGAGGAGTCTCCACCATGGGAGGCAGCCAAGATCTGCCTTGTTAAAATGACATGAGGGCTAGGAGCTGGGCATTGTCCCCAGAGGGACTGGTGGCTGCTGCAGTGTGAAAAGATGGAGGATGTGGGTTTTTAATTTGGCTTCATTGAACTGTCTGGCAAAGCAGGTGCCAAGAAAGTTAGTTCCCTGCAGTAGGTCCAGACACAGAAGGGGTCAGCATTCTTCTGCTTGTGGGTAAGAGAAAGTACAGTTCAACCCAGGCTGTGTGAGACTGGGGCCAATGGAGATGGTTTACAGAAAGAACGAAGGCCCACTGTGGATTTGTGCTACCACGACTGAGTCTCCTCTAGAACTTTCAGCTTCACAAATCACTTAACATCCATCAGATTTCTTAGCTGTAAAATGAGTATAAGATGTACTTCCCTGTTCTCAGCAGGAAATATCTAAGCATGTGTAAATTTGGTCATTTGACCAGATGGTGAGAAAAACACTCTTCCTAAAAGTGTGGGTGCATTAGGGGCAGTATAATATTTGGGGCTAGTGATAGAGATAGTACCCAGTTCTATGTTTAAGGCCAGATGGGGTTCTGAAGAAGATGGTTTACTGAGCAGAAAGTCAAAGAGGCAGTGTCGAGACCCTGCCCTGGGGAATCTCAGATGAAGTTCCCAATCAGAGGAATCTAGGATGAAGTTCCCAATCAGAGCAGGTGGCTTCTCCACCCTCTGAACCTCTGCCAGTGTGCCCACTAGCTTTACCTAAGCAGTCTGGAAGACAGGAGCCACTGGTAAAGGAGCTCTGTAGGTCAGCCCCCTGGGCACAGAGGAGAGTGGATCGTGGATCTGGGAAAAAACCTCACACTAAAGAAGGGTTTGCTAAGATAAAATGAGATAGTATCCAAAGGGAGCTGGACAGTGACAGACACACATCCAGGCACTTGGTAGACAATGGTATTTCTTATCATTATCATAATCACTATCATTATCATCATCATCATCATCACCATCATCATCATCATCACAATTGTCATTATCATCACCAGCACTATCATCATCCTCATCATCACCACTGTAATCATCACTACTCTTATTATCATCATCGCTATTATTATTGATGCAGTATCCTCTTGGGTTGCAGCCACCAGTTCTGACTGTCTCACATACCCAGGGTGGGTGACAGATGTGTTGACCCAGTAGAACTGAATAGAACTAGCCTGGGAAATAGTATTCTGTATGTAGTACTCAGGATTAAGAGTCGAACCAGATAAGCCATGGGGCACCATGAAGCCTGCATCTCAGCCTTTTTTCCCCCTTTCTCTCTCTCTCCCTCCACCAGGACAAACTACCCTGCTGAGTTCTGGCCCTTCAAGGGGACGTCTGTGCCTGAGTGCTCCTGTGCCACGAGGACACATTGCTGAGATGAAAGCCATGCCTTGGAACTGGACTTGTCTGCTGTCCCACCTGCTGGTGGTAGGGATGGGCTCCTCCACGCTCCTCCCCCGACAGCCACCCCCATTGTCCCAGAAGCGGTCTTTCATCACATTCCGGGGGGAGCCTGCGGAGGGCTTCAATCACCTGGTGGTAGATGAGAGGACAGGGCACATTTACTTAGGGGCTGTCAACCGGATCTATAAGCTCTCCAGTGACCTGAAAGTCTTGGTGACCCACCAGACAGGGCCAGATGAGGACAACCCCAAGTGTTATCCACCACGCATTGTCCAGACCTGCAACGAGCCCCTGACCACCACCAACAATGTCAACAAGATGCTCCTCATAGACTACAAGGAGAACAGGTTGATTGCATGTGGAAGCCTGTATCAGGGCATCTGCAAACTCCTGAGGCTGGAGGATCTCTTCAAGTTGGGGGAACCTTTTCACAAGAAAGAGCATTACCTGTCGGGGGTCAATGAGAGTGGCTCTGTCTTTGGGGTGATTGTCTCCTACAGCAACCTGGATGACAAACTCTTCATTGCTACAGCAGTGGATGGGAAGCCTGAGTATTTTCCTACCATCTCCAGCCGGAAACTGACCAAGAACTCTGAGGCGGATGGCATGTTTGCTTATGTCTTCCATGATGAGTTTGTGGCCTCAATGATCAAGATCCCTTCAGACACCTTTACCGTCATCCCTGACTTTGATATCTACTACGTCTATGGTTTTAGCAGTGGCAATTTTGTCTACTTCTTGACCCTTCAGCCTGAGATGGTGTCTCCTCCAGGCTCCACGACAAAGGAACAGGTGTACACATCCAAGCTTGTGAGGCTTTGCAAGGAGGATACGGCCTTCAACTCCTATGTGGAGGTGCCCATTGGCTGTGAGCGCAATGGGGTGGAATACCGCTTGCTTCAGGCGGCCTACTTGTCTAAAGCTGGGGCTGTGCTTGGCCGGACCCTGGGAGTCCGTCCAGATGACGACCTCCTCTTTACTGTCTTCTCTAAGGGCCAGAAACGGAAAATGAAATCTCTGGATGAATCAGCCTTATGCATCTTCATTTTGAAGCAGATTAATGACCGCATTAAGGAGCGGCTGCAGTCTTGCTACCGGGGTGAGGGAACTCTGGACCTGGCCTGGCTCAAGGTTAAGGACATTCCTTGCAGCAGTGCGGTGAGTCAGAAGGGGCTGTGGGCCAGGGCATATATACATATACATATACATATATGTGTGTATGTATATGTATGTATGTATGTATATATATATATATATATATATATATAATATATGTCCCATCTCAGGTCTCATGGGACTCAGACTATTACCAGCTCAAACATCACAGCTGGAAATAAGATGTAGATTTCTCACAGGTGCATGGTTCTCTGTTCCATATCGGTTCACTGATTATGCCAGGAAATGCTGGGAAAGGTAGGGAAGTGCCAAGTATTGGGCATGGGAGGACCCCAGTATACTCCAGTGTAGCATATGCCATGTGCCCACCCTTCTGAAGCTTGTGAATCACTTTCCTGGGAGTTCAGAGCAAAACTATGGAGGAGCAGAGTGGGGAGGATATGAGAGGCCATTCTACATTAGGAATGGATGTGGGGTTTCAGAAGAGTTAGGTTTTCAGCTCTTTGCATATCTTTAAGAAATAGTAAAATGTGAGCAGAAAGGATATAGAACAGGACCACATAGTTATTAAGTGTCTTTTGTATATACAGTGTCATGGAAAAATACATTATAAGGTCAGGAAGCAGCTAGAAAGTAGCCCAGGTGACAGAGTGTTATAAAAACCCAATGAAGAGTAGTATAAAGGGTTGATGAGGGGGTTTTGTCATTGCGTAGGGAGCCTGTAACTTTGCTGGGTGATTGTGGGTGATTGTAGGTGATTGCCTAGTCAGTCCTGCTCACCTGTGAGCCAAGCGAACAGCAGCTATCATTCTGGGCTTGGCTTCTGTTCATGTTTCAAAGGGTACTTACTGTGTTCTTTTCTGCAATCATTCTTCAGGGGACATGGAAGTCTCAGCTGTTGTGATCTTCTGTGCAATATCTGTTATTATCCCTTCCTTTTCCTTTTTTGTTTTTCATTTAAACATTTATAAGCCTAGCTGGGTACCAGTAGCTCACAGTTATAATCCTAGCTGTTCAGGAGGCTGAATTCTATGGATTGCGGCTTGAAGCCAGCTCAGGCAGGAAGAAAGTCCATGAGACTCTTATCTTCAAGTAACCACCAAAAAGCCAGAAATGGAGATATAGTTCAAGTGGTCAAGTGCTAGCCTTGAGTGAAACAGCTGAGGGACAGAACTCAGGCCTGAGTTCAAGCCCTAGGACTGGCATGCGCGTGCGCGCACACACACACACACACACACACACACACACACACACACACACACACACACACACACACACACACAAATTATAAATCTAGTTTGCAATCTATTTTGTGATTTTTTTGGGTGGTGGTACTGGGATTTGAACCAAAGGTCTTGTAAATACTTGGTAGTTTTTTGGAAAGTTTTAGCAAGGTTAAACAAGGTTATGTTAGTATGACAGGAGAAAAGAAAGAGAAAGAGAGTGAGCTATTTCCTGTCCCCTCCCCTGCCAATTCAGGAAATGGGAGTTCCTATCTACAGTTTTTATACTTTCTGAGCTGGGAGAATACATATGTTCATGCCAGACTAGCAACTTGTAATCCTTAGACAGTGGTTTTAAGTGGATAAGATGTATGAGGCTACCTAAAACCCAGGTAAACCTGTAGGACTTTCTTTTCCCAGTTTTTATCCTTTTCTTTCTGTCTTTATCCATTCATGAATAGCCATATTTTTTTAAATTTTAACTTGAGAAGAAAAGAAAAATTCACCCATCTGATAGAAGTATGCATTTGTCCTAATATGGTTCTTGACTGCTATTCTGACTTTGGTGGGATTCCATGCCAGGGAAATGTATTTAGGTCAATTTACAAAAGCAAAAGCCACCCTTCATGAGGTTCAACTACTTTCCAAGAAAATCTCAGAGGACCCTGGCTCCCTTCTCCCAGCCTGGGATGCATATTCCTTGGTCCATGGAGACCTGGGATGGAGATAGCGAAAAAAGGAAGAAAAAGAAAGACTGTCACGCCTTTGTGGCTTGACATTTGGATTCAGGCTGTGTCCTAGTGGCAATTTTTCCAGGTACTAGACTAAAACCAAAAGATTACATCCTATGTGGTGGTACTGAAAAGCCAGCAGAGTCCCATGCCATGAAGAAAATAAGAAAGGTACTAGGGACAAATATGGCAGCCACAGATGGACAAATCAGGCCAGTGAACTAAGAGGATTCTCCTATCTACTGAGCCCCTACCAGTGACTAACCATTGGCAATTATTCCTGGACCTCTCATTTGAGGCAGTAGCTGTTCCACTCAAGAAGGTCTGTGCACTTGGGGGTGGGGAGATGGTCTGCTTCCAAATGAAGAGAGTGAATGGAATATCAGGCCAGAGATTGTGCTGGGTGTTCGTGCTACACAATGAAACAGATTCATAGGAAGGGACAATAGAAGACTGGTATGGAGAAGATCCATAGGAAGCCCTGGTGCTGCTATAATGGAATACCTGAGACTGGGCAGTTGATGGTGAATGGGAATTTATTTCACACAATTCTAGAGGATGGGAAATCCAAGATCTAAGTGTCTGCTTCTGGTTAGGACTTTCGTGTTGCATCATCACATGGCAGAAAGGCATCACATTGGAGAAAGCAAAAGAGAAGGCCAGAAAAAGCAACAGGGGCCAGGTGTCGGTGGCTCACACCTGTAATCCTACCTACTTAGGAGACTGAGGATCATGGTTCAAAGCCAGCCCGGGCAGGAAAGTCTATGAGACTCTTATCTTTAATTAACTCCCAAAAACCTGGAAGTGGCACTGTGGCTCAAGTGGTAGAGTACTAGCCTTGAGCTGAAGAGCTGAGGGACAGCGCCCAGGCCCAGAGTTTAAGCCCCATGACTGGCCAAAAGAAAAAAGAAAAAAAAAAAGGAAGAGCAGCAGGGGAGGTGAAATTGTGCTTAATTTGCTCCCATAGTAACAGAATTAATCCATTCATGTGAACAGGAACTTCATGCCTTACTCACCTCTTAAATATCCTACCTCTTAATACTGTCACTATAGCAATTAAGTTTAAACCTGGGCCTGGGAGGGGATAGACTTAAACCCTTAGCATTCTAGTTAAACCTCTATTTTGCATTTGACATGCAACAATGTGAACTAATTACCCAAAGTCATACATCTTGTGAACAAGTGACAGAGCCAGCATTTGAAGACAGTCCCTTAGCTCACAGGGTACACATACACCACCACTACCACATTTACATGCACTTGCTTGTCTGTAATAAGTAATCACAGAGAGTGCATTATGCTCTGTGCTTACTCCTGTTGAGATCAGAGTGGTTGGTAATCTCTGACACTTTTCCATAGAAAACTTGGTCACAGCTATTTTTCTGGGCTATGCTTTCCGAAGCAGCAGCATCTGTAGGGTTCCATCTGACTGCAGGTATTTGTTCTGCCCTTGCTCCCCGCTACAATATAAAAGCCAAGTTCATCATGGAAGTCTGCAGAACTGCAGGTCCTCACAGCACATGGTAGCTGGGGAGAGAACAGAGGGAATGCAGCGTTGTAAGACAGACCAATGCCAGGACTGTGAGTAACAGAGCCAGATAACAAGCTTTTTGATTTTTCTTTTGCCTTTAATTAGCCCTTTTAAGTTAGAGGCAAGTTCAGGGCCAAGAGTAGAAAGCAGGAGGCCAGAAACTGCACAGGGCTGGTGCTGTCTCCCCAGCCAGTCTAAAAAAAGGCCAGGCTGGCTTTTAATGCACAGTATCAGTTTCCTTTGATTTGGCTGATACCCGAGTTACTTTGCTCTGGCCCTCTTGTGACAATTCATTTGGACTCAGCTCAGACCACACGTTTCATATGGCATTGACATCAGCCAGGCCAGGCTTCTGAAGCTGTCCTCAGACTCAACCTTGTTGGCATCCCAGCTTTTCTTCAACCCATTCATAAGACTTTTGAGTGGATTGAGGTGGAGGATGGATAGGGATTCTATTTTGCCTTGAGTCTGGGGCTCTTATGAGTCCTATAATATGGGAGGGAAATCTCAGATGGTGTCTGTCCTATGGAAGTTCTGCTATAGAAAAACGGCAGGTAGAGAGAAAGATACAGGAGGTTGACTTTTAGGGTTATGTTTTATAGGCAGAGTGAATGGTGGGAGAGCTGAGGAACTCCAAGCCTGTGGCTTTTGTCAAATCCCAAGCCCTGGGGAGTCCAAGGTGATGGGCCGCATCCTTCCTGGGATGGGGTCAGCCATTTCTAACCTGTAGTGGGCAGCCTGTTAAAGTGGACCAAGCCCCTGTGTCCCTCATGGGCTAAGCACTCAATGTCTAGGGATTTCCCTGGTATGGCTGCCTATGCTCCTGTCCCTTTCTCTGGCCTTCTGGGGTCCTTTGCACCATAGTAGCCTCTGTCTGTAAATGAATGGAGGAACCTCGTAAGCCCCAGGAAAGTGCTTGGAAATGGACTCTCTGATGATGGATGCCAAGCTCAGTCTCCAGGAGCCCACAGTGTAGAGAAGAGCAGATCACTGTGGCTTGTGTGACAGGAACTAAGTAAGTGAATGGGAGTAGCCATCATCATTCCTTCCACTGAAATCTTCGGAGATTTGGAAACAAGAAGCAATTGCGGTATCCAGGCAGTCCCGATTGAGAATGCTGGCAAAGAGGAGGGCACAGATCAGCTTCCTCACCTTGATCTCAGAGTGACCTTGTACTAAAAAAGTTTGAATCCATAGGGCAGGAAGTATTGTCCAGAATCACTGCCTCACACCTGTCAGGCCCTGTTACTGATATCAGGGAATGATGGCTGCCAAGCTGGCTGATAATATAACTTAAGCATTCACATGGCACCTACCTGCCAGTTTACCAAGTCCTTCATTGCCTCCTTTTCTTGTCTCTACAGTTCTGTAGAAAGGGCAAGCAGCCTGTCCTGCTTTGTGATCAGCTAAGAATTTCCTTTGGCATCATCTGCTACAGATCTGAATTCCCAGCCCAGTACGTCTTCCACAGCAATTTAGTGGCATGCTGGTGATGCCTATAGTGATTGGCAGTTCCTGGGGTAGGGATGATCTAGTTATTGCAGGGCATTAGTGACT